GTTGTCCTGGGCTAAGTGGTTTCTCATCCTTTATATGATTTAACTGCTACATCCTTAAGAGAATGTTTCGAATTTGCGAATCCAATTTCGAGATGTTTATCATCTAGTTGCTGAAAAGGTGGCTTATAGGCCGGAAAGATTTTTAGTTCTCTGAAGAAACTAAACCATCTGTAAATTGGCCCACACATTACTTGGTAACTCTCTAAATGATTCAAATGCATGTATCTGACTTCTAAAATTTAAGATAAACAAGCCTCTGGTACTGAGAGAATTATGCCCAATTCCACCATTGGATCCCACCATCAAAGAAAAGCTCTCAAAATCTGGTCATTTCCAAAATTCACTTAAATGAGTCTCGGAGGTTATTTTGTTATCTGTTTTTGTTCATTGTGCTTTACATTAGTGCGATTAGCTAAAGGTAACAGTTATAGTTTAAACATGTCCTTCTTAGAGAAAATCACTCTTTCTACCCTTTAGGGACCCTTGACTTTGGTGGTTCTCTATTTTCATTTGGACCAGGTTGATGTGGACCAACCAGCACATGTGGGAAAGAACTCTGACATAGAATTTTGTTCCAGTGCTTGAATATATCATTTCATCTTAGGGTTGCAAGAAGGAGAATAGCAACCATTTTAAATGAAGCTTAGACTCAAGAATAGTAATTGCTTAGGGATTGTCTAGACTATTCAAAGAATAATGATTTATGGAAGTCCTTCACAGTTTATGCTGCAAATCTTGCACCAAGACATACAGAAAGAAGCGGTTCCAGAGCTGTCTTGTCCAACCTTCAGCAAGGTTCAACACTGCTGTTGAATATCTCTGGACCCCCTAACATTTACATAGCATAGGGTTGGAGAATGAGGGGTAAAAGTCAGTCCCATATATTGCTCTCTCCTATCCCATGCTCTGTCCACTGCATAGCCATTGTGGGGGCTAACTAGAAAAGCTGCCATGGGTCCCAAAGCATGTAGACTGGAATGGGACGTTTGTATGGAGAACTCTTGAGGATGGGCTGCCCACCCTGTAGGGCTATTCAGTGGAAGGGCTCCAACCAAAGTGCTCAGAGCCCTTTGCATAGCACCAGAAAAATATTTTATATTCTGCATTAAGCATCTGAAAGGTTTCTGCCATAATCATTGTTGATTTCATACCCATAGTTGATAAAAGGAGAAAAATAGGTGGTATTTTTCTAACTCTAAAAGGAGCTGAAGAGTTTTAATATTGGTGGAGCTCATTATAACACAAGCAGCAAAATCTTAAATATCACACTCTATTGTGTAAATATTACACAAGTAAATTTCCTATAATAAATATACAATGCAAATACACTATTTCCCTTGACAGCTCGTAAACAAATATTCTACTATTATCAAGGCTAAAGTCTCTATAAAGATTGCACATCATATTTAAAGGGAAGCCTCACAGGGAATTCCTTCCATATAAACTACTCAATTTTATAACAAATGTTTTTGTTTTCTTGTTTTTACTCTTCTAAGTCTTTCCTATAAACCTCACATTACATTGTTATTATTTTGTGTTTAAATTGTTGTTATTTTGAAAGATTTATAGAACTTTAAAAAATCTTTAAAACTTACCCACACATAGAGTGTGTGGGTGGTTCAGTGAGTTAAGCATTGGGATCTTGATTTGGGCTCAGGTCATAATCTTGGGGTCGGGGGATCAAGCCCCAAGTCAGTCTCCACACTCAGCAGGGAATCCGCTGGAGATTATCTCTCCCTCTATCTCTGCCCCTCCCACTGCTCTCTCTCAAATAAAGAAATAAATAAATCTTTAAAAAAAAAAAAACCCACACTTTCTTTTCTTTCGGTACTTTAAAGATGTCACTCCACCATCTTATCCCTTGGATCATTTCCAATGAGAACCCACTGCTTTCCTTTTCTTTGTTTCCCTTGTATGTAAGGTGTGTTTTTGTCTCTGGCTGATTTTAAGATGTTTCTTTTTATCATTGGTGTTGGGCAATTTCATTCTGAGGTGGCTTGGTATAGTTTCCTTCATATTTCTTGTGCTTGGAGTTTGTCAAAAATCTTGAAACAAACTTTTCTTTGAAGTATTTCTTGCAGGGCTCCCCTCCATCTTTTAAATATTCCAATGACCCATGTGTTCAGCTTCTTGGCTTGTCCCACAGTTCACTCATGCTCTTTTGATTTTTAAATTTTTTTCTTTAGTCTTTTTTATTTGGGATAGTTTCTACTGATGTGTCTTCAATTTCACTAATTTTTTTCTTCTTCAATTTCTAAAATGTTGTTAATCCCATCCAATATAAATTTTACCTGAGACATTGAGTTTTCATCTCTAGAATTTCAATTTGGGTAATTTTTTTAATATCTAGCAGTCTCCCCTCCACAGTTAATCTTTATTCTAGCTTCTTAAACATGGACTGTAATCATAGTATTTTAATGTCCTTGCTTGCTAATTCTAATATCTCTGTCAGTCCTAAGTCAGTTTCAGTTGATTGGTTGCCCCCTACCCCTATGAGTCATATTTTTCTGCTTCTTTACATGCCTGGCATTTTTTGTTAGAGGCCAGATAGTGTAGATTTTATCTTAGGTCTGGGACAGAGTTGAGTTACTTAGAAACAGTCTGATCCTTCCAGGTCTCACTTTTAAGATTTGCAACATGGGAAAAATGCTCTTTCCAGGGCTAATTATTCCTCACTCCTGCAGCAAGAGCCTCCTGAGCACTCAGCTCCACCAGGGCTCTGTGAATCGTGAAGTTTTGGAAACTGGCTGATGGAAGCTTGCACTATTCCAGGCCTGGGGAGTGCTAGGCACTGTGTCTCCTAAGCCTTTCCAGTGACTCTGTCCCCAGTCTTTGGTGTTTGCTCACACACAGGAGCGGATCAGCCTTCAGCTAACTACTCAAGAGGGTTTCTATGAGTTCTTTCTTTGTGAAGATCTCTCGTCTCTCCCATTCTTCCCTGCAAACTCTAGCTGGCTCTGTCATTCTGGACTCTTGGTTTTGTCTCTTCGACCCAGGGAGACTGCCAGGCTCTGCCTGGGTCCACCTTCCCTCTCTACACTGCAGCCTATAAACTATTTCAAAGCAGGATGCTGGGTGATTGTAGGGCTCACATTATTTGTTCCTGCCTCTCAGGGACAGCCATTTTAAATTACCTGACACCCATATTCTGGAAACCATTTTTCACATACTGTGTTCAGCTTTTTAGTTGTTTCAGGTGGGAGGAAAATCTAGTTCCTATTACATCCGCTTGCCAGAAGCCGAAATCTTCTTTAAGTCTATGACCTGTAAATATATTCTACATTTTACTCTGAACTATACAAAAGAGGTAAAAGCAAGGTCAAAGATATGGTTTTCTCAAATTTCCTCTGTTTCTCTAGAATTCAGCTATTAAAAACTTACATCCTCTGATTTTTAGACTTTAATTTTAATTGAGGCTGATTAATGAATATGGAATTTGTAGACTTTGATTCTACAAAGCTAAGCCCCCTTCTCTTTCTTTTGACTACGGGGTGAGGTAGTTGGAATTTGGGCGGGGTAGACCACCTCTGGACCCACAGCTCTACCAACTGTCATTGCTCAGACACATGGGCAGTTAAGACTGGTGGGAGAGAGTCCTACAAGTTGATGAGGTGCTGCTGCTCTTATTTGTGGGGCTGCTCTCAAAGTTTGGATCCAGAACACTTAAGCAGAGGGTGGACTGTTTGCTTTTTCGTTTGAACTCTTCTGCAGCAGCTGGTTCTTCAAGCAAAGGCAAATTCCCAATTTCTCACTTAGGTACCAAATAGCCAAGCATGAGATCAATTAGCAATCACTTTTTTCCTTTCAGGCCACTCCCCAGACCCATGCCCAGTCTTTCCTCCCAGGACATATAGGGCTCCTCTTTCTGCTCCTTGTAGGAGAAGAGCTACACTCCAACAACCCTCTTCCCAGGCAACCTCCTCTTCTAGCCCATAAAGCAGTTGCCATTAAGTAGGAGAAAAAAAAATCTTACAATTTAATCTTTATCAGGTCCGTCCTCTAGTAGCCACCCACATCTGCTATCCCTGCTAATATAACATATTTTATCTATGGTAAAATTTCAGATAGATTTAGAATTTCCAGATGCTCATATTTAGAGTCATTACCTGCCCTCACTTAACATTATTCTTTCTCTGCCCCTTCCGGCCTTTCCCAATGACAAGAAAAGCAGTCTAAAACATGAGCACGGACTTGTAGTCATATAGCATCCAGATGAAGCTAGTAAAGTTCTTATCCAATGTTTAGTTAAAAAAAAAAAAAAGGACATATATGTCTTAGTCAATTAGGGCTGCTATAACAGAATACTACAGACCGGGTGGTTGTAAACAACAGAAATTTATTTCTCACAGTTCTGGAGAGTGGAAGTAAGTTCAAGGTCAAGGTGCTGGCAGTTTCAGTAGCTCATGAGAATCTACTTCCTGGTCCACAGGTGGTCATCTTCTCACTGTGTCCTTGCATGGTGGAAGGGGCAAGGGAGCTTTCCTCTCTGGGGTCTTTTTTATTAGGTATGAATCCCACTAATGAGAGCTCTGCTTATTACCTGTCACTTCTTAAAGACCCCACCTCCTAATACAATTACCATGGGGGTTAGGATTTCAGCATATGATTTTTTTTGGGGGGGTGGAGGGACATGATATTCAGTTCATTACAAAATACATATGCACAGACATATACATTTTTTTTATTGTTTTGCCAGTGTGGCATTTAAGAGCAACTCATATCCTTCTGGATTTTCTTCCCCTTATTAAAGAGGCATCTGCAATCACTTGCTATTTAGTCTTAAGAGATGGTGGTCCTTTTTCCTTTATTTCAGGAAACCAGTGACACAATTTTACCTGGACCCTCTGACAATTGAGAAAATAAATCCTTGGAATTCCCTTGTTCAGCTCTGTTTCCAGGAAGTGGGCTTTTAATGAGGATCAAGCAACAGAGGAGGTTCAATCTCAGTCCCACTGACAGCCTATTTCCCTTCACTGATTCCAGGCCTCTTCTTTCCACAGGTGCCACAGTGAACCGAGAAAACAGCTGCCAGTCTGACAGCAGTGGGTTCCTGGATGAACCACTGGAGCCCCTGCCCCTGCAGGTAGAGGGCCACCGGAGGTTTGGAATAGGAATAAAAAGGAAGATAAGTAGAAAGCTAGCCAGCACATCAGGAAAGGGCAATCAGCCCTTGGAAGACACCTAGCATAGGCACTCAGGGGATGGGGGATGATGGATCACACTAAACAAGGTGCCCGAAAGCTTAGCATTCCTTTCCTTTTTATTTTCTTTTGATTTTACCAAACAAGGAAGCTGAGCCCCATAGACAGAAGGGCTTAGTTAAAATAGTAAACTAATGTAAAATTGAGTTTATAACACTTATCTCCTGACTCCTCAGTCAATGGTGATGATAAGGAAAAGACTCACACACACTTCTGAAACATAGTGCCTTCCCCATCCTCCTGACCCATTTGCTTTTATCCTGGTTTCTCACACAGTTGCCTTCCTTGCCAAGCAGCCAGAATCCTGCTGAGAATGGATGTAGAAAGCCAAGGGATCAGAGCCAGTGCTTGGTGTCACCCCAGTACTGCCAGCAAGAGTCAGATGAATCTGATTCCAAGAGTACGGTGAGCGCTTCCTTTTCAAAACAAGACTGGAGTATCTGGGAGGAAAAGGCCTCAATATCCATGGTAGAGAAAGAGTCTCAGTTTGAGGATATGGAGAAGCCACAAGAGCCATTGGCCCCAGATACAGCCCTGGACAAAACCAGCAGATGGGGAGAACACCCAAGGAAAGACAGCCATCTGAGGCAGTACCTACCCATGCCCCAAACTGAATATGAGGCCATCATGGGCACGGTTACCTCCAGATATGACTGTCCTCTGGGGTTTATGGTGACCCACATCACAGAAGTGAAGGATGGGTTTCTGAAGCTTGAGGGGACTGGAGAAGCATACATGCAAAGCCACCACCACAAGTCCCAAAGATCACCTGGAATTGATCCTGCTCACAAGTGCCATCATGATGACTCTGAGGACCCAAGAGGAGCAGAAAGCAACAAAACCTATACTGACACCAACAACATCTCACTGATAGGAGAAAGCCCACCACAGGACATCTCCAAGCCCGGTAATGTCATGTCCTACACAGTTGACAATATTCAAACATCTGAAAAGTCCATTCTCCACCTAGATACTCCTCAAGCAAAGCCAGTGTGTCCTGCTTTGGGTCAAGTACCACATAGAGCAGAATCTGAGATGGAAAAGCTTCCTCCAAATGCTGACTCAAACACTGTTGGTTCCAAGTCTGTGACAATCCAGATGTCCTCCAATCTGGCATCGGCTGCTCAGAATGCTGTGGCTTTGGGGGCTGATTCTAAAGGAATGACTTTAGAATGCACTATGGGTGACCCTGTTCCCACCACAGAACCAAGACCGGAGACAAGATCAAGAGAGTGCTGTGATGTTTCTGTTCAGGCCAATATATGTGAGCCTAGGCCCTGGCATTGCTGTTCAGCTCCACGTAACAAGGCCCAGCGCCTCACCAAATCTGTCTCTCTAGACACAGGTTTCACTCGCATTTGCCCAGCAGCCATTTGTCACACTGTACCTGCCCACTGCTGTGTCTGCTGTCATCACCATCCCCACTGCCACTCAGAGGGGCAGAGCCCCAGCCCTGTGCTCTCAGCCTGTAGGCACTGCCCATGCTCAGATGATCATCTGGAAGCCCAGTTCATGAAGACGTTGAACATCCTTCAGGACACTACAGTGAAGGAGCTGTGTTCTGTAAGTATCATCTCATCTCTGCAGAGACGGGAAGGCAGATGGAGAACACCAACTCAGGGATAATGTTTGGGCTTCCTGAATTTGAGCTCTTGGGGCATACCTTTCCATCTCAAATCATGAGTAATACTTGTAGAGTGCTTTAGAGCTTATGATATAGTCTCACAAATGTCTCATTATCTGATATGTCCAACCACCTTCTGAGGTAAGGAGGCAAATTTCATTATTAATCCCCATTTTACAGAGGGTTAGAGCATAATAAATTCATGTGTAAGGTTATAAACATTAATGCATCAGTACCTCATCTCCAACTGAACAATTCTCTGTCTTAAATTCACTTAGCTGAATTATCTTGCATGAGCCGTTAAATCTCTCTGATTCTAGTTCCTTTTTTGTAAAATAGAGAGTCTGTTCATGCCACTGACAAAGGATTACATTAGGATTAAGTGAGAGAAAGCCTCTAAAGCACTCAGCATGCTCAGACCCTCAGCACAGTGCCCAGGACACAGAAAGCCCTAGAAAATGTTAATTGTATGGCTCCCATTCTTCTTACTAGTTTTCATTACTATTATATTATCGTTCAGCTCTTGAATCTAGAGCTTCCTTAGAAGCTCTATATGAAATAGAGGGACTTCTGCTCCATCTTGGCTGAGTTTATTTAAAAGCGGACATTGAGTTTACTGAAAACTGAATGAGCCCCCCAACCTGTTTTGCCCCTGATAAATCAATAAGCATTTAGTGATGCCTTCAGTGTCCCCTCTTCAGTGATTCTCAAGGTGAGAAATGATCTAGGCTGTCAAGCTTACCCATTGTTAACAAAATTAAGAGTGTCACACATGAAATTTCCTGTATAGAAAATGAAAAACAGAAAGGTGGCACAGATAACATAGGGCTACAGCTGTTCAAAGGAGTGTGGAGGGCAATTGTAATTTGTTAAGTGCCTACTATTTGATGCCTGATGAGTTACCTTCCAATTCTTTTAATTCCACAGATATTTATTGAGTGCCTGTGCTAATCACTTTATTTACCTTATGTCAAGTAACCCTCATTTTCATCCATGCCATGAATCCTGGGTCCCTGATATAAATGCCAAGTCTTTCCCCTTTTGCAGATGATGAACCTAGAACTAAGAGAGTGTAAGTTTCCAACTTACCCCACTAATAAGTGGTTAATCCAGATTCAAATTCAGATTTAGCTGATATCAAATTCTTGGACCACACACTTTGGGCAACGATGTGTCTAACTTTAAAATATCTAAATCTGCAGAAGTGTAATAGCTACATGAGAAAGTGATTATGTGAAAGATAAGGCAAATTACTACATAGCCCTTCAACATCTAGAAATCTGCATAAATGTTATATAAACATAGAAAGAGGATCGATGAAAGATAATTTACTACATCATTTTTTCAAATTGCAAGGTTTCAGGCATTAGGAATATTTTTAAGTGGGTCATTTAATAAGGCTTGAACTAGTAAAAGAAGCCATTGAGATTATAACGATATCCAAAAGTTTCATAGGAGTGAAATACAAAGGCTGAGGTTCAAATGCCCAGGTCCGAATCCTGAAGCATAGTAGGAGTCATCACCACTATCATCACTGATATTTATTAAGGGATTTTAAATGCTATAAGGTGGTGGATTTGGGGGTGCCTGGGTGGTTCAGTCAGTTAAGTGCCCAACTCTTGAATTCTGCTCAAGTCATGATCTCAGGGTTGTGAAATCGAGCCCCACATGTAATCAGGATGGAGCCAGCTTAACATTCTCGCTCCTTCTCCCTCTGCTTCCCCCACCTGCCCCCCCAAAAATGGTGTAAACTGATGGGTTTCAATTGGGGATAACTTGCCCCCATCCCAGGTAACATTTTACAATGTTTGGAGACATTTTTGGTTGTCATAGCTGGAGTAGGTGTTGCTATTATTAGTGGGTAGAGGTCAGGGATGTTGCTAAACATCTTACAATACACAGGACATACCCCTACTCAACAAAGAATTATCTACCCCAAATAACAACATCAGGGCTGAAAAAAGCTCCGCTCTAAGGGAATAAACATTTTGTTGGCTCCATAGTTAATATAGGAAAATGTTAAGGATGAAAGATAGCTAGAGAAGTTGACATTTTAAGACGCTGTAGAGAGAAAAAATATTAAATCCTACAATCAGGTATTCTAGCTTTCATGAGGAAAACCAGGTTGTCAATCTAAAATATCCTGAATAAAGATTTTTTTCTAATTTACATTTTTAAGATAAGTTTTACAAGGATATGTAAATTAAACCATATTTAGTTTTATATTTTGTTAAGAATAATAAAGTATTAAAAAATCAAAATTATCCTAAAAACTCCAGAATAAAAGGCCTCTCTAGATGTGCCAAATGTCATTCTTTTGATGTTTTAAATGTTGCAGTTATTTATTCCATAATAAGATACTACCTAGTTTCTGTTCACATCATCACTCCTAAAAACAATATAAATCATTTACTGGTTGTGTTCTAAAAGGAAATAGGGGCACCTAGGTGGCTCACCCAGTTAAGTGTCTGACTCTTAATTTCTGCTCAGATCATGATCTTAGGGAAGTGAGACCAGGTTCTGCTTGGGCTCCACACTCTGAGCAGGGAGTTTGCTTAAAGAACCTCTCTCCCCCTCTCTATATCCCCTTGTGTTCTCAATCTAAAAAAAGAAAGAGAGAAAAATAACAAACATGTATCCACAGACTAAGAAGCTAGACGTCCATCGTTAAATTCTCTTTGGGAAGTGCTATCACTTCATTTATTAATATTATAATCAAGTATCTATGGCAATAGCTCTATATTTGATACTCAATTAGCCTATCGTTTGCTCAGTTGTATGGCCACAAATGAAAAAAGAAAAAAGAGTAATTCAGCCTCCCATGGGCAGAAAAGACACTCTACCTCATAAGGGTACTAGCATGGTTGAGGGGACTGTGACAAACCACTGCAGACAAAAGAGACACCAGGGTCTAGAGAGGCTCAGGTATTCAAAGGGTGGGCCTGACTACAGGTGCCAGGAAGCTGTCTAGTCCATCAGGCAAACCATAGCATCCACAGAGCATAGCTGACCAGTTAGTACAGCCCAGTAAGACCATTAATATGAAAAGTTTTAATAAGGCATAAAGGGGGATGCCTGGGTGGCTCAGCAGTTGAGCTTCTGCCTTCAGCTCAGGTCATGATCCTGGTCCAGGGAATCAAGTCCCACATCAGGCTCCCTGCAAAGAGCCTGCTTCTCCCTCTGTCTATTTCTCCTACCTGGTGTCAAGAGATGACCTTGGGCCCAAGTAGCCCCAGCTATGTGGAGAGATCTGGCAACTGGAAATAGACCTTCTTCTTGATTTGACATCATAAAACATTAGCCCTTCTGCAGAACATGCAGGGGTTTTGTGTCTCATTATGCACAATGGCCATCTTTAGACTTGTGGGCAGCTTTCAACTGAGTAGGAGGGTTTTTTTTTGTTTTTAAAGATTTTATTTATTTATTCATTAGAGGCAGAGAGAGAGAGAGAGAGAGAGAGAGAGAGAGGCAGAGACACAGGCAGAGGGAGAAGCAGGCTCCATGCAGGGAGCCTGACTTGGGACTCGATCCCAGGACCCCAGGATCATGCCCCGGGCCAAAGGCAGGCATTAAACCGCTGCACCACCCAGGGATCCCTGAATAGGAGTTTAAATGAGAATGCATGCCACCATCTCATGTCTTCTAAAAGCTTGTCTCATAGTGCCTCAGCTTGCTCTCCTCCTAGAATTCACAATTATACCAAAAAATGTTATTTTACATCAAATTAATCTGACATTATACACCCTGAAATATAAGGTTTTATTAGATAACAATGCATTTCTCCTTACTTAGATTCAAGGAACCACAAACATACACTCAAAGAAAATCTTTTACACATGCATTATTATACTTGTGCGCAGGTGTGCACATAGGCATGCAGACACTTGCAGAAAAGCAAGTGAAAATGAGGGGTTGCATTCACCCACAAGAGGAGGCTGCTTAAGCCAAAGAACAAACTCAAGAACAGAGAAAAGGTATCTATGGTGAGTGAGTGTGTAAGGGTTTGTAAGGCTTGAAAAATGTTCTGGAGAAAAATGTCTCTAAATCAGATGCTAGGTGCTAGCTAGGGTTACAAAAATTATTCATTAAAAAAAATTATCTGGAAAATAAATCTTGGACCCAGTGAAGATTATAGGCAGGGACAGATACTCTAAGCTGTCAATGGAAGTTCCAAATGAGTGTTGAAAGTAAGAGCAATTTTAGATAAAAGACTCAGGAAACATCCCCACCTCCTCCCCTTACAGGGCAGTAGGTAACAATTCAGAGACTAACTTGACTAATTGGTAGATGCCATTCCTTTCTTTTTTTTTTTTTTAATTTATGATAGTCACACACACAGAGAGAGAGGCAGAGACACAGGCAGAGGGAGAAGCAGGCTCCATGCACCGGGAGCCCGACGTGGGATTCGATCCCGGGTCTCCAGGATCACGCCCTGGGCCAAAGGCAGGCGCCAAACCGCTGCACCACCCAGGGATCCCGGTAGATGCCATTTCTGTGGTCTTGTGGGTCACCCTGGTTTGTTGACTTGATTAAGTCTTATGTATATGTGAGTTCTTCATAATAATTTATCAATTAAAAAAAAAAAAAACCCTTTCCAGAAAAGAAAATGAGATCATCTGAAATAAGACTTTCAGATATCAGAAAATTCTTCTATAATGCTCATGGTTTAGATTTAACTAAAAAAAAAAGCACACACAGCTTAAAAAGTTAAGATGAGCCCATTCAAAAGTGAAGTTTCAATGCTTCCTGGTGGTGTTGCTCTTACAATTGAAGTTAAAGTTTGTTTTAATGGGTTTGGGTCAGTCGAGTAGACCTTTAATTCATTGCCTTTGGGTTATAACCCGGCACTTACATTGGGAAAAAAAAAAAAAGAGTTTAAAACAGCTTCTTTTCTTTTTCTCCTTGCCTAAGGTTGCCTTTTTTTTTTTCCCTGAAATGTAGTTTTAGTACTTCCAAATGGCCAGAAGATGGCACTGTTTCAGAATCTTCCGCCTCACTCCCTTCTCAGGGAAGAAAAGGCCATCAGTCCCAAATCCCAGCCTGCGCGCCTTCCAATCACAAAGGGTTACCCCAAAATAACTAGAGGAAGCATAAAATTTAATGTTTCTAAGGCTCAGCCTCCTTGAGGCTTTCCATGTCCCTGGCCTCACCATCCCTAGAACTTGGTCAGCCTGTAGGAATCTACTAGGACCCTTCAACCAGGTCATGCCTAAGGGACAAATAACTCGTCCCGGTCTCCAGATACGTGGATCAATTAAAATTTTTTTAAAGATTTTATTTATTTATTCATGAGACACACAGGGAGAGGCAGAGACACAGACAGAGGAAGAAGTAGACTCCATGCAGGGAGCCTGACACGGGACTCCATCCCAGGTCTCCAGGATCATGCCCTGAGCCAAAGCAGATGCTCAACCACTGAGCCACCCAGGCATCCCGCTCAGTTAGATCTTGAGAATAAAAGAATGAATCAGACTTGAAAGCTGACCTTTTTTGACCGTGGACGAGTCAGTTTGCCATTCTGTGTCAGAACATTTCTCTTCAAAAGAGCCCTTCATGGTCTCTGAGATCCTTCCCAATTTCAAGAGTCATAGTTGCAGTCACCTTTCAAGCACACTTGCTGACATCAGTAACACTTCAAATACTCCTCTAACCGGTGCAAATGCACTTACACCGAAGCAAATTAATTAGAGAGTTTTGCCGTGTAACAAACGTTACTCACATATAAAAATTAGGGGACAGAATCAAAACCAAACTCTCAAAGCAAAATGACGAGGAGCTTTCAGTATAAAAACATCACTTATAGGAAACTATTTCTGTTATGACAATTCCAGTAAAAATAGCCATGAGACTGCCAGGATCTTGGTCATTGAGTTTTGGGGCGGGGGGGGGGGGGAGAGTAAGAAATCTGAGACTTCCTAAAAAACAGGGCTAAGAGGAATTAACACAACTGTTAAGACTGATCCCCATGGAAGGAAGAAAAAGAGAAGGTTGAAAGAGGGCATCCAGGAAAATCAGTTTCCTTTAAAGAGCTTTCCAGAAGCCCCAGTCCATGCTCTCTGCTTTCAACTCATCGCCATCCTACTGCAAGGGATGCTGGAAAACGTCATTTGTTAGACACACTGTTGCCCTAAGATACTAGAATTCTGTTCATGTGAGTAAAGGGGGAGAAGACAAGGAGCAGGCAACTAGCAGACTCTGGAACAATACTCTGGGAGACAGGGAGGGGGGCCAAACCCATGGACTGTAGTGAGAGCATTAGGGTCTAACAAGCATTAGTGTCACTTAAAGTCAGATGGGTAAAAATAAATAAATAAATAAAATCAGATAGGTAGAGATGCTGGGGTTCTGGATCATACATTCTTCAAAGCATAATCCAACCTGGGCTGGAAAACAACGAAGGTAGCTAGTAAGAACTCAGGGAACCATTAGGCTCCCAACAAATGGACTGGACTTAGGGGCTGCAGGAAGATATGCGAATCAGGAAACCAAAGCAGAAGCACAGTCACGCAGAGAAAGTAACATTTAAAGAATGATTTTCATCAGGAGCAACAAGGAGCAGGATTGGGAGAGTAGACAAGAGGTCAATTCTAGATTCCGGTTGATGAAGAGCGTGGGACGCCTCATTGACGCCTGCCTTGCTCTGGATGAGCTTGTTAGCTGCATGGAGCTGATCCTGCAGATTTCACCGTCGGGGATTGTGGCTAAGCAGGGCTGAGGCTGATTTAAAAAAATCATATATATATATATATATATATATATATATATATATATATATATATTCAGAGTGAGGCAGTATTCAACGCCCAAGTTGAACAAGATTTAATAGGACTCAAATTTCCTGAGCATAAGTCCTCACCTTGGCCCTGTATCTGCATCCTGGTAACTGCTACCTCACCTAGTCCTTCAGACCCTGGTAACCCCAACCTCACCTAGTCCTTCAGACTGGTAACCCCTACCTCAGTCCTTCAGACCCCGGTAACCCCTACCTCCCCTAGTCCTTCATACCCTGGTAACCCCTACCTCAGTCCTTCATACCCTGGTAACCCCTACCTCACCTAGTCCTTCAGACCCTGGTAACCCCTACCTCAGTCCTTCAGACTCCGGTAACCCCTACCTCCCCTAGTCCTTCATACCCTGGTAACCCCTACCTCCCCTAGTCCTTCATACCCTGGTAACCCCTACCTCCCCTAGTCCTTCATACCCTGGTAACCCCTACCTCAGTCCTTCAGACCCTGGTAACCCCTACCTCACCTAGTCCTTCAGACCCTGGTAACCCCTACCTCACCTAGTCCTTCATACCCTGGTAACCCTTACCTCAGTCCTTCATACCCTGGTAACCCCTACCTCAGTCCTTCAGACCCCAGTAACCCCTACCTCACCTAGTCCTTCAGACCCTGGTAACCCCTACCTCACCTAGTCCTTCAGACAGCCTGCCTGTCTCCGGGACATAATGTCTCCAAGAACCAATCGACAACCAGTGCTGCCCTTCTGTCCCAGCCAAGTGTTGCCTCCACTTGCCTGGAGAAGCCAAAGGCTGGGCTTTCCCTCTGTTCTTCCCCACACGGTAGCGACAGGGCTTCCTTGCCGACAAGGGAGCCCCAGTGGGAAGGCCGCCGGAGCGTAGGGGAGCTCTCACAGTGAATCAGAAAAGACTTCCTTCTCAGCTCTTTCTAATTGTTCCCAGTGCACAGTCCACGAGATGGAAGCGATGAAGGCGGTGTGCCAGAGTTTCCGGGAGCATTTAGAGGAAATTGAACAGCATCTTACAGGACAGCAGGCACTCCTTTGCAGGGACATGTCAGAGGAGGAAAGGTAATTATCGAAGAGAGTCATAAAAGCAAGCAGCAGCCCACACACCTGGAGCAAGGAAGGGGAATCAGGGCAGGACAGATGAGCACCAGGGAGCAAGACTAATGAGAAATGAGTCCTTCTCCTTTGCTTTCCTGTTCTTGTCCTTGCTTTCTCAGTGGGAGTCTGTGAGAGCTATTTGCTAGATAGCAACACTTATTCTGGAAGGCCAAGGCTATTTGAGGTCAGAAGATGGGCAGTCAGCTGGGAAGAAGGGGCTAGCCAGCGGGATGTCTTCCACTGATGTGAGTGGGGGCTATGCAAATGTAAGCGTTGGGGGTTATGAGGGTTTTGAAAATCTGCATTATGTTCACGTAGATTAAAAAGCATATGTCCCAAAAGTCCATTCCTCGCTGCCTGGGCCCCGAGGGATGGAAATACGGTTAACTGTAAAGGGGCACAGGAGTTTTTACTGGGCGGATGGAAGTGGTCCCCAACTGACTGGTGGTGACTGATACAACTTGGCACATTTACAAAAAATCATCACATTGTGCTGTTAAAATAGGTAAACTCGGTGGGATGCAAATTATTCTGCAATCGAGTTGTTTAGAAAAGGAAAGAAAGAGAACCTGCCCTGATGATATATGCTATGTCTGCGACTGATGCAAATGAAGAAGGTGACATTACCTTTTAAGAAATGTCAGAGGAGTGACCTACATCTTGAGCCGGATGATGGAGGGCGGGCTCTTGGAGGCCACGTGAAATCTGATCGCTTCCTGTTCTTTACCTGCAGGGAAGAGGCGGCACAACTGCAGACCCTCCGCCGGGCCCTGCGGCAGCAGGTGGAGGAGCTTGAGTTTCAGTTGGGAGACCGGGCTCAGCAAATCAAAGACGAGATACTATTGGTATAAGACAGTGGGGGGGGGGGGGGAGCTGACTGCATCCTGCCACCGTAGGAGGGAGGCGTTAAATCAGAATTCAGTGCCATCAGTTTCAGATTCTGGGATTACACCTCTATTTTAAGTATAAAGAAAGCGAAGCCTTTGCTCAAGGCCACGTGGCTAGCGGATGACAATTCAGGATTCGAACTCGGGTCATCTAATTCCTGTGCCAATCTGACCTCCTCCCCTGTACATGAGAGATAGGTTATTATTAGCCATTTTCTCAATGAGAAGAAGAAACACAATTTGGGGGCAGGTATGGCTTAGTCACTGCCAAAATCAGCTGCTGGCTCACAGAACCTACTGGAGAGAATCCCCCACCCATGAGTACCTTTCCCACTAGTCTGGTTTAGCTATTTGATATGAATACGGTTTGTTGCCCACTGTTTCTATTCTTATTTTCCTTTTAGCAGGTTGAGCTTCTCGCCGAGGAGCAACCTGAACACTATACAAACCTGCATGACTGTAACTGGACAGAAGAAAAGAATGGCCACACTTCGTGTGCTAAAATCCACCAGGCCATGGGCCTCCGGGTTGCCTGGCCTCCCCGCGATGGCCGGCAGGCTGCCAGCTCCAGTGTGACCCATCTGGCTGCCTTTTCTCCACCCACCTTCGAGAGCAGCCCCAGGATGTCTCCTTCAGCTCAAGCAGAGTCAGGTCCAGCCCCTCTGTCAAACTGTCCTACTGGAGAAAAGGGTACAAACATCTTCCTCTAGATCAGAGTGGGTTTGATGACCTTCCAACACAATGAGCACATTCTAGCCAGACAGGGAAATCTAAGTTGCCCCCGAGAAGTGTCTATCAACCCTTCTTCAGCTTTTTAAAAAAATATATTCTATGCTGCGTTTCAACCCAAGAGAAACTCAATATTTCAATATTTATTCAATACAGACTAAGTGAGCACCTACTATGTGCCTGGCACCAGGGAATACACGGTGACCAAGATATATGGTATCTCTAGGTATAAGTGAAATTTGCCCTGTGGAAATTTAGAGTCTGCTGGGGGAGATGAATGTGGACACGTAAAGACATGTGGATTTGAAACTATGAAAATGCTCTGAAGGAAATAACAGGGTTTTATGAAAGAGAACACAGCAGGGAATCTGATCGAGATCAAGATGTCAGGAGGGCCTGGTTTGAGGAAGTGACAACAGAAGAGAGAAAGAAAATCCAGGCCTCAGAAGGACCAGACTTTCTAACGGCCTGAGGCAGTCAGCCCCTGGAAGCATCGATGAAGCTCCTACCTTGTGCCAGGAAATCCTCTCATGCTGGAGACAGCTGTGAAGAAGACAGACGTCCTATTCATAAAGAGTTGGATGGAGAGGGAAGAAAATGGGAACAGCAGACAAGATAATTTCAATATTGACAAATGCCATGGAGAAGACAGTGTGGGAATATTGTAGAGACTGGCGTGGAGAAAAAGCATCCGGCATTCCTTAGGGTGACAGCCAAGGCCTTGCTGAAAGGAGGCTATCTGGCTACGACCTGAATGGTGAGGAAGAGGAAGCCATGTGAAATCTGAAGAAGGAACCTTTAAAGCAGAAGAAATGGGAAGTTTAAAAGCCCTGAGACAGAACCAGCCAGAGGTGCTGAGCACATGAGTGTTGGGAACGTGGAAGAAAGAGGAAGTCCAGGGGCCAGCTGTATGCTGGAGTCTGAGAGCCACGATCCTTCTTCCACATGGAAGCATTACAGGTTCTAAGCAGGACTGTCACATAGTCTGGTTTACATTCAACATCACACCGACGGCCTGTGGGGAACACACCGCTGGGGACTTGCAGCTAGGCAGCCCTCCCAGTGACGAGGCTGTTGGTGTAGTCCCTGCTGTGAGAAGCAGAGTGTCAAGTTGCTTCCATGCAGCTAGGGAGGCTTGGGAGCCCCCCACCCCACTGAACCGTGGGATGCACTGGCGGTCTTGAAGTACTGGAGGAATTCTAAGGAAAGGAGAATGCGTGAAGAATGGAAGAGTCAAGAAATGTCATGGAAAAAAATAATCCTTTGAGGGAAGTAATGATGTGTAGGAGATGTGCAGGTGGCGGTCACTTCCAAGCAAAGAAACTAAGAAGCTATTTCTTTTGAAACTACCCACTACTAGAATGGACCTCCTAGCCCATTTCGTGCTTCATCCCCCTTGCTTCTTGGAAACCCTTTGGCTTCGGTGGAACCCTCCTGCCATCTGGACCATCCCACATTTGACTGCACTTTCTCAGAGTATGAACATCCCCCTGCCATCCTTAATTCTCTTCTTTTTCACTCTCCACACCTACTTTCCCAATATACGCAGTTCACAGGTACCTATACCTCCAGTTCTTGCCCTCTCCAGAATTCCTGTCCAGCATTTTCTACTCTCAATAACACATTTTCACCCTGAAGACTTGCCCGTATGTCTCGCTCAGCATCTAACACTGATCCTGTCATTTCCCTGAGTCAGTTCATCTTCCTGATACTTCCTGGTCCATGGCATTGCCGTACTTCACGTGCAGACTCAGAGCCACAAGTTCACATTGTGTCTTCGTCCTCCGTTACCTTCTTCCCTCAGAATCAACAATCACATCACTGCCGAGTGTACTGCCACAATGTCATTCCCAGAAGCCCCTTCGAAACCTATTACTTGGTGAAGACCCAACTGAGGGGCCTCCTAACTGCCTCTAGCTTCCTTCTCTCTGAGCTATGCTGGCCTCTGCCAAAGTGGTCTCCCTGAAGCATCACTTGGGTCATATTACCCTGGCCTAGGGTGAGTAGCCAGGGAACACTTTTAGGCTATCCTAGAGAATTAGAGACAAGTCACAGGATCACTTTCCAGAGCAGTCTTGCACCAAACAACCTCTGTGCCCTGCAATTGTTATGTCCCTCTCTTACTCTCCTGCTGCCTCGTTTCTCTTGAACACATCCCTATTTTGGTTCCTGCATCATGGTTCAGCTTCCAGCCCCAACTTGACTCCTGGTATATTGCATTTGTACTCCTCCCCAAGATTGCTTCCCTTTCTAAACGTTTTAAACTTTTTACTCTTTCCCTGGGTCAGACTCTAGGCTCCCTGGTTTATCTCCATTTCTCCAATATAGACTTTGAAAAGGTTGCTGTGTTTCTGCCTTGACAATCAGGCAGATGCGTTCAGAGATGATGGAGGTAGAAAAGGAGACCTATTGCCCTCAGATGAAGGGCGGCATGTGGAACCCCCAAGGATCACTAAACATCTCATGGCATTTCCTTGTTTATTCTCTGAACTCTCCAACAAAGAGCACAAAAGGGGAATCAAGATATAGAGAGCTGCTTGTCCCACCCAGAACATTTGCTATCTTTAGTCCTCAATGACCTGATTACCAACACTAGTTCCAAACACCATCTCCTATAGCTCATGCCCTTCCTCCCATAGACATGAGACCTCTAGAAGCCCAGCCCACCTGATGACCCATGGGTTATGTACTAGTGTCCCCCATGGTTCTCTATCCTGAATACCCTCTAGGCTCACAGGGGAGCTTTAAAAATTACTGACATTAAAGCGTCACCCAAGATCCATTAAACAAGAATACCCAGGGATGGGATCCAGGTATCCGTAGGCTTTAAAAGCTCCCCAGATGATTCTGACATGCAGTTAAAATTGAGGATTGTTGGGATTCCTGGGTGGCTCAGCAGTTTAGCACCTGCCTTTGGCCCAGGGGGTGATCCTGGGGTCCCAGGATCGAGTCCCATATCAGACTCCTTGCATCGAGCTTGCTTCTCCCTCTGCCTGTGTCTCTGCTTCTCTCCCTCTCTCTGTGTCTCTCATGAATAAATAAATTAAAATCTTTTTTTTAAAAAAATTGAGGATTGTTGTTCTAGATGAAAAGGCTATCCTACAATTCCATTTTACAATTCCATTTTTCCTATTGTTTTTCTAGGGACTCTCTATTCTTTTCTCATTTTTCTTTCTATACTACCCCTCTCAGCTAAAAAAGTTTTTCACAATTTGTTGGCAATCACTGAATAACAAAGGAGAAAGGAAAAATGATGTGTGGACTTTATTTCTATTTTTACAACATTGACTTCTACCTTGATCATCAATTCCTACATTTCATCTTTATTTATAGAGAAGTAGTAAACAGTGACTGTATTTTGTCTTCCTTCCTTTCCCAAAAGTCCTCTTCCAAATTTGACAAACGAGATTAAATATACATCTTTGATTAGGTAGATCAGGGTAAGAATTATTTGTTTCTTTAATTTAACACCTTCCTTCTCTTGCAGGAAATGTCTGTATGAAATAGCCAATTACAAAAATTATGGAAATGTAGGTAGTCTTCTAAATGTATATGGTTGTTCCACCACTAGGACACAGCACAAACATTCTAGAAAGGTGAGCAATTAGACAAATTGCCTACAGTGTAAACATTAAATGTAAACGTAAAACTGAGTGTTTTGAATATTATTTATGGCACACGAGGTATGAAGCAAGTCTCTCAAGGATAGAATCTACAACAAGCACGCAGGTGACTCAACTACTCTGATCTTATGATGTCCCCTAACTTTCATCCTTCTACCTTTTCCATAAATAATCTTCAAAAATGCGTGTGTATATAGTATGTATAACAGCTACCATGTTTCACTCCAATATCAATGTACTCAACTTAAGGCATCATAAAACATTATGGTTATGGAAAGAATGTCAAAGTGTTTTCTGGAATTACCCACAAAGTAAATGCCTTCCCTCTCAAAACTTACTGGCCTATTCTTTTATATCAGTGTGTGATACACAATGTCCTGTATCAAGCACTTACATTATAATCCCTTATTTTCAAAAAAGGGTTCACAGCAAAACTGCTCACTGGGCTTAGGGAAAAATTTTTTTTAAAGATTTATTTATTTATTTGAGAGAAAGAGAGAGTGCGTGAGAAGGGGGAGGAACAGAGGGAGAAGAAGGGAAAAGCATGAAGCCCATTCAGAGTTTGACCCCACAACCCCCAGATGAAGATGCAGCCTGAGCCTAAACCAAGAGCCCAGTGCTCAACCTCTCAACTGACCCAGACACCCAGGCGCCCCTTAATTTAGAAAAGTTTTTTCTAGGAAACCTAACTTAAAGCTAAATAAGATTTCCTTTTGGAGTCCAGATGTATTTTGACAAAGTTCAGATGTGTTTTTGACCCGAGTTGCTTCCACACAAACATGAAAATGAAGATTTGGAGGTGGAGATTTTTTTTAAGATTCTATTTATTTATTCATGGAGACATACAGAGAGAGGCAGAAACACAGGCAGAGGGAGAAGCAGTCTCCCTGTAGGGAGCCCAATGTGGGATTCGATCCCGGGCATGCCCTGAGCCAAAGGCTGATGCTTAACCGCTGAGCCACTCAGGTGCCCCTGAAGATTTGGAGGTTGTCAGTTTATATGATCAAACTGGATAAAATGGGCAGACCATGCAGGTCACCATTTGTTTATACAAAAATAAGAATCTTTGCACATGACAGGCTTTACCTCATTTGAGTCTCTCGGTGCTAAGGGAAATATTCCCCATTTAAACACTGAGGAAGCTCAGATATGGAGAGATTGACCTACACAAGCACACAGTGAGCCTTATGTTTTATCATTAAGAAGGACCTGCATGCTACTGCTAAGAGCTCAAGCTCTGGAGTTAAACCCAGGCTTTGAAACCTAAATCCAACTCCAGGACTTATTCTGTGTGTTGGGCAAACTAATTAACCCCCTAAGATTCAGTGTCATCCTCTATACATTATCAGAGTTAATGCATATACAGCCCTTTAGAACAGGCCTGGAACTTGGCTCAGGATGATTCCATACTGAGTCTGGCTCAGTATGATTGGGATTCTGATGACAATAGCAACAAGAATAGAGACAGCTCTGTAATAACTACTTCCATGCAAAGTATTGGGCTAGACATCATATGTGCATTATCACTTATCTTTGTAACAATCCTGAAAGGCAAGAATGAAAATACACACACACACATACACTCAAAAAGTTAGTAAATTATCTAAGTTCTGACAACTAATAAGAGATTGAGTTGACTCTGATTCCCTGTTTTGCCAGTGGTTCTCATTTATGGCTCTGCCAAGCTTTGGGCTTACGTGGAGAAACTGATGGTCCGAATCAACCGGAGTAGCCCTGTTTCTGAAGACATTGTACAGTAGGCTTTAGCAGAGATTTTTCTTTGGAAAAAAAAAAACTCATTACTATAGAAAAGTTTGAAAAGCACTGTACTATGCTAATCACACATGACTCTTATAGTCAGATACAGGTTCTGAGTTGCTTTCATACAAGAAAATGACTTCCACAACATAGGAATCCTCCAGAACATACCATCCTAAAAACTCAGCTTAGTGCCACTTGTCCCACTGACAGGAATAATGGCAAGAGTTCCTTTGCAGCCTCTGAGTAATTGTTTGGGGAATCTTTTTGTTCTATCATCAAGTTCCAAGATCCTGAATTCTCTTTCTTTGACAGTTAACTCTATTAAAGTTGACTATATTCAGGAGAACCCAGATCACATATTTGAAAAACAGGAGATCATCGCAATATTTGTTGAAAGTTAAAAAGAGCAAACTCTTTAATTCTGAAACCCAACTCAGGGTTGGAGTCATTTTGTTTCAATGAAAAAGATGGAAAGGGTAAAACCATACTACCTGTTTATTTTCAAATTTAGAAATTGGCAAAGAAACTATTTATCCTTTTGTATATCAAAAGACTTGGGTCACTTCCCTGTATTAATTACATTCTATCCAGATTCCATTTCAATATTCAAAGCCAAAACTTTGAATTGAGAAGACTGACTTGAGATACAATATTGGGAACTCAAGTCACATACTTTCCTTGGTTTTGTTATGCATGAGTGAAGACCCAGTTTGCATGATGAAGACAAAAACCTTGAAGACTGCTTTGAATCACAGCGTATGCATAGGCTGTGTAGATTTGTCTAAGAAAATGTATTTTTTTGTTCACAAATAAACATTTCCCAGAAAAGTGTCCCATTAGATTTTGTTTAACAGATATTCCCTTATATGTGGATTTTTGTCTGCAGGACCAGAGTTATTCTGTCTTCAAAAACAAATAATTCTGTTGAGAAAAAAAAGATCAGAAGACTTTCTAATGACATGAAAATCCGGTCTATTAAACTGTTTTTTCTTTGTTGGGAAAGTAATCCGTTTCTGCAGTATAACACTAGTCAAATAAAATGGGACGTTTGTGCAGAGTTTAAAGATTAAAAGTAGTTTCCCTTTGAGAAGAAAAGCTTCAGAGTGTTTTATTGTGGATTGGTGGGTTGCATGTCTAATTTCAAATTGTAATTAAAACAACAAAGAACAGCCAAAATTTGCAGGGATTACGGATTATTAAAAATGATGTCAAATTGCCTTTTTTGAGAATTGAGAGAATAAGAGCAGAAGCCAATATATGGATGTCACCTTTCTCTACCCAAATTCATGGCACCTTTCTCTACCCAAACTCAGTCTCTGATAGTCTAATTTTAAAGCAGTAGTAGATTAGAGTTTAGTATGGGATATGTCCTCTCTGAATCTGCCCCCAATTAAGTAAAGGAAGAGCCCTCCATATCAAAGATGATTTCTTATTAGAATCACATTGAAGACATTTCCCTTTGGGTATTTCAAGAATTCAGTGCTTCACCAGGAAAATGGAAGGGAACAAAAACAATTCTTAAATTGTACCTACACTTTTTTTTATTCCTGTTATCCTTCAATAATTGCTTATTTGTTGATGTATCAGAGTCACAGGATGTTTTCCTTTTTAAAATCTTAACGTCTTGGGGGGCTATTTTACTAGTGTGTAGTTTGGAAGGTTTAAGAAACACGATAGGTTCCTACCATTGGGACATACCTTTGAATATTCAACATAATCTTCTATTAAAACTATACCTGTTTCTCTCTTTTTACCTGAATAGAGAGACAACAGTGTTGTCCTTTGTGTGTCCAGAGTACCCTATATGGACTCCAACCCTAAATCCAAACTCTACATGGCACTTAATTGCTCATATTTCTACCTTCCCCCCAGATATTAGAGTAAGTTTCTTGAAAAGAGAGGTTGAATCTTAATCTTTCTGGAATTGCTTGTACAGAGAACTATAACCAGAACACAGAACATGATAGGGGCATTTGCTAATATACATATATATATATGCAAAAAATATATAATATATATATATATATATATATATATATATATATATTTTAAATACCGGACCTGATCTCAGAACAAAATTCGTGAGTGATATTTTTAGTGAGCATGGAAATCTGCATTGACAGTATTTTTCTTACAACACTTTAAAACATTATCCCTTTTTTGTTGTTTGCTTTGCCTCCATGGTTTCTGGTGAGAAAACTTCCCTCATCTCTTTATGTGTTGTTTTCATCCAGCCTTTTCAAGATTTTTTGCATTGTTTTACTTTCTGTTCTTTGATTATGATGAGTCAGAGCATGGCTTTCTTCAAGTTTATCTTATTGAAGTTTGCTTAACTTCCTGCATCTGAAAATGTATGTTCCTTTATCAAATTTGGAAGATTTTCAGCCATTATCTCTTCAAATATATTTCTGCACCATTTCTTTCTTCTCACCTTCCAGGGTTACAATAATAACAAAATAAGAAGCTCTGACACTCTCCTACAGTTCTTTGAAGCTCTGTGAATATTTTATCAAACATTTTTTCTTCTATGTTTTCCAGATTGGACAATGTTTATTGACCTACCACCAAGTTTATTGATTATTTTTTTTCCTCATCTCCTTTCTGCTTTTGTGGTCCTACAGCTGACTTTCTATTTCTGCTATAATATCTATCAGTTCAAAATTTCCATTTGGTTCTTAAGATGCCTTCTGTTTTTGGCTGAGAATTTCTATCTTTCCATTTTTGAGAGTGTTCACTCTTACTTCATGTACATCATTATAGAAGGTTCCTTGTCTGATAATTCCCACATCTGGGTCATCTTGGAATTTGTATTTGTTTATTACTTCTTCCCTTAAAAGTTATCGATTTCTTGATTCTTTGTCGAGTAATTTTTTAAAGATTTTATTTATTTATTCATGAGAGACACGGAGAGAGAGAGGCAGAGACACAGGCGAGAGAGAAGCAGGTTCATGCAGGGAACTTGATGTGGGACTCGATCCCAGAACTCCAGGATCACACCCTGAGCTGAAGGCAGACGCTCAACCACTGAGCCACCCAGGAATCCCTATCAAGTAATTTTGGACTGTATCCTGGACATATTATGCTATGAAACTCTGGGTTCTGGGTTTAACTTTGGGTTAAAAATTTTCTGGGGAGTGTCTTGATTTGTTTTGTTTTATTTATTTGTTTGCTTCAGTAGGCAATCAACCTAGCTAGGTTTGGACCACAGTCCTGACCCATTTGCATTCTATGATTCCAGTATCAGTTTAGTATTCACAATCTTTCTGTAGTATCTGCCCTACCCTGTGTATGCACCATTTCAGTCTAAAACTTGGGTGGCAGTCTACACCATAGTTCAGTTTTCAGAGTGTTTGCTATGTTGCTTATGATTAATTTTATCCATGCCCAACTCACGAAGAGCCCAAGACTTTATACACAGACTTAAAGGGTCCCTTTCTCCAGTTACCTCCATTCTGTGGATCTACCTCATTCTCTGACTCCTAGGAGTTCCTTTTCATGGCTCTGCCTGGAAAATCATAGTTTTAACTTCAATCACTATAAGGAACTTCCTGAAACTAGGTCTACCTCAGAG